CTCTCCATCATAAAGTTGCTAATTTTTAATTAAAGCTTTGTGAAGAAGTTCTAAACTTAATAACTATCTTTCACTTTGCTTTATATATGATTTTGCAAACTTTATGAGGAAGTTCTAAGTTCAATAACTTTCCTTCATAAAGAAGCTCTGATATTGTACAAGGTCCAGGTGCAAGCTGTTCTAATCAATAGCTGCACTTTGCGAGACTTTCTATATCTGAAATTATACATTGTGTGGTAGATTCTAAGTTCAACTTATTTCTATCTCCGCACAAAGTCTCAGTGCGTGTTTTTCCGCTGTGCTTAGAATTCTAATTTCTGTTAGAATTTCTAAAATTTTATTTCAGTTTTAGAAACCCAATTCACCCCCCTGTGTGGTGTGCCATATTTCTGTTTAGAATTTCTAAAATTTATTTCAGTTTTTAGAAAACCCAATTCACCCCCCTCTTGGGTTGTGCCATATATATTCGGGACCCACAATTCCATCATAGCATGGACTTGACTCGTGTAATACTTTCGGACTGCGAAAATAGCATAATTGTAGATTCTTCATCAACGGGAAGCTTATTGGATGCAACGAGTAAAACAAAATTGTGTGCAAGGTGGAGATTCCAACACCCAATTTTTTCATATCTTGGCTTCTTCTCGTTAAAAAAAGTAAAACGCAACAATTGAAAAAACGATAATGAAGATTAGTTAACATGGGGGAATGGCTTGGCAGATTGGATTCTCCAATACTCTCAACTATTTACTTCAGCTCCGGGTAATATGGAAACAATTTTGGATACTATCCAAACTTGGGTAACGGATGCAATGAACAAAGAAATACACCAACCCTTTACACAAGAGGAGGTCAGACAGGCTCTCTTTAGCATGCATCCGGATACGACTTCGGGACCGGATAACTAAATCCGGGATTCTATCAGTCATTTTATAATATAGTCAGTAATGATATCTATCTTACTGTCTTTAACTCTCTTAATAATAATATTATTGCTCCTAAAGGTAATCAAACTAAAATTATTTTGCTTCCTAAAAAAAAAGCATCAGAAATGGTATTTCATCTTAGAACAATTTTGTTGTGCAATGTAATTGACCGTATTACAGCAAGGTGTTGGCAAATAGAATGCTCAACTGTATGGATATAGTAATCTCTCCTACAAAAAGCACCTTCATTTTCGGACGATTTATTGTGGACAATGTAATGATAGCACTTGAGATCCATCATTTTATGAAGCGCAAAAGACAAAGGAAGGATGGCTACGTGGATGTCAAAACGGACGTGAGTAAGGTGTATGATTGGGTGGAGTGGAGTTTTCTTGAAGCTATGATAATTAAGTTGGGATTTAGTAAAGGATGGATATCTTGGATTATGACGATGATTACCACAATTTCATACCATATTTGCTATGGCGGAAACAGATATGGTCACATTGCTCCAACTCGTGGTCTCATGCAAGGTGACCTATTTTCATCTTATCTATATTTGATAATGGCAGAAGGGCTTTCTTCTTTATCGAGTTACTTTGAAAATAAATCACAGTTACATGGAGTTAAAGATGGTTGGGTTGGCACCGACAATTTAACATTTGTTCTTTGACGACAATGCCTTTTATTTTTTCAAAGCAAAACTTTTCGAAGCCTATCTTATTAAACACTACTTGAGACTTTACCAAGATGCATCGGGGTAACAAGTGAACTTTGCCAAGTCTGAGATTTTTTACAGCGACAATACATCATAGGAGGCTATGCAGAGTATTACTGCGTTGTTGGGTGTCGAACAAGTGAATATGCCTGGTAAATATTTAGGCCTCCCATCTGTTATTGGCTGAAATAAACAAAAAGTCTTCAACTATATTATTGGTATAATCCAGCAAAGGATGCAGAAATGGGAATGCAAGTTGCTTTTCAAAGCCAATAAGGAAATATTATTAAAAATAGTAGTGCAAGCGATGCCAACGTACTTGATGACAGTATTTTTATTACCGATGAATATTCATACTCCAATGGAAAACGCTATGAACCGGTTATGGTGGCAAAATGGAGGAGATGGGTCGTCCAGCATTCATTGTTTATCTAGTTGAGATGTGATTCAAAGGTTGACCGGGTTTTGAGGAGTTTGTTAGTAGTTTTCGAAAACTTGTGAATTTGTTTTTTGGTCAATTTCTTAAGTAGGATCCATTGTTAACAAATCTCTGATAGGCTTAGTGGTTTTCTGAGATTTTTTATTTTTAGTTACAGTGTAAGCCTATATATATAGGTACATCATAGCTATTTTTGAAGTGGTCAATCAAGAAGTAAAAAAGCATCTGCAGCTTTAATCTCATTCTCTCTTCCTGCTATCTTTTTTTTTTAATATCTTTTCCCAACGGATTTGGCATCAGAGCTTGGTTGGTCCATTTGGACTATTGAGTGAAAATGAGGCTTGGGTCCATTGGTTATTGAGTTGAATACTTCTTTTGGGTACTAAAGGGAAACACGATAGTGAGTGTTTCTCTTCCTCTGCATCAGTCATATCAATTTTCAATGGTGAGAAATATGATTGATGGAGCATCAAGATAAAGACCTTGCTTAGATCGCAGGAGCTATGGGACTTAGTGGAGTATGGATTTGTTGATTTACTAGAACCCACAGCAGAAGAAGAGGAAAGGCTGAGAGAAACCTAGAAGAAGGATGCCAAAGCTCTGTTCATCCTTCAACAAGCAGTTCATGAGACTATTTTCTCATGAATTGTAGCAGCAACCACATCAAAGCAAGCATGGTCAATTTTGCAGAAGGAGTTTCAAGGAGATTCAAAGGTGATAATGGTGAGATTGCAATCTCTAAGACGTGATTTTGAAACTTCACTTATGACGAATGGTGAGTCGATTGCTGATTTTTTATCAAGACCAATGGCAATAGTCAATCAAATTCGTGCCTATGGTGAATAAATTTCAGATGAGACAATTGCTGCAAAGGTGTTGAGAAGTTTAACTCCAAAGTTTGACCAAGTGGTGGCTGCTGATAGTGTTATTTTTATAGTATTTTTAATATAGTTCTTATTAGGATTTTTGGCATTTTTATTACTTATTTAGTTTTTATTTCCAGTTTTATCTATGTTTTTGTGTAAAGCTTCTTTGAATCATAATCCACTTGATCTTAAAGGAAATTTGTAGGGTTTTTGGAGCAAAAAAGAGCAAAATAAAGCAAAACACTAAGGCTCTAGCACGCCCTGTCTGTGCACATTAGCACGCCCGTGCTGGACTCAAGGAAAATCACACTAAGGCCTGTCTAGCACGCCCTGTTGTTGCACATGCCCGTAGCTGGACTCAAGGATAAATCAAGGTGGAGACTCGACTCTAGCACGCTAAGATCGTGCTATCTGTCCACGTGCTATCTGGCACGCCCGTGCCTAAAGAGGACATCAACATAAAGCAAGCACACCCGTGATGCATTTCATCCTAGAGACTCAAAGCCTAGCATGCCCTAGGCGTGCTATGGGGCACGCCCGTGCCACAGATTCTTCTCTAGACGTGCCGCTGAGCACGGCGCGTGTTGAACCATCCTTAAAACTCAGGCTCTGGCACGCCCAGATCGTGCAGAACAACACGTCTGTGCTGCGAATTAAGTGTTGTCTTAAGTCGAGAACGCCAGCCAGTCTCTCTAACTTACATGGGCCCACCTCAGATACTTTCCTGACATACAAATCAACATCTAATCCTATTTAGGCAGATGGAAAAGTCGATACTAATTGAGTAAAGAAAATCAAAGCCTATAATATTTTCCCTATCTCTCAAAAAAGATTTTCTTACTTAATAAGGAGTCTTATTTCCTAAATGAAGTCGTGATTTTCTCTAGGGAAGTTCTATATAAAGAGGGAGGCCATCATTTGTATTTATTCCATTCTTTTGTCATCTATTATTTTCTCTCTCTCTCTCTTCTCCAAGGATCTTCAATAGAGTTCAAGATTTGTGTCAAGATTCAAGGAAGCGCCCAAGCTAATCATTTACTAGTTTTTTATTTCTAAACTATATTCTTGTTTATTTCAATATCATGTTGAGAGATGAGAATATTTACAAGCTCTCATTGAGTATATTATTCTCTCATTATGTTGAACTAAAAATCTCATACTAGGGATTAAATGTAGCTTAATTTTGATTCGGATTCTATAATATTAGATTTTGACTTTTTCCTTGTTCATGATATTTTAATTTATTATGAATTTTTTAATGCTATCCAGCGCAGAGTTTCTCTCCTGGATTGATTTAATTTCATTAATCATTATTGGAGAGAAGGTTTTGATTTGAACGGGAGAAGGGTTTTTGATATGAAAAAGGTAATAAATTACATGAAAATAATAACTTGATACGGAAGTTATATGGTTTGACTCATGGGGGGGTTTTCATAAGTTAATGACTTTAGGTTATGAATTCATAAACAAAACCATAAAACTTAGTGATTTAATTCATGTTTGATTGCGCTAATGGAAGATAGGTAATTAGACTGAGTTAAAATATCTAACAATACATCGGGAGAGCTTGTTAGTGATTTTAGGGTTGTTTCCCCCTACTTAAACAATTAAAATTGATTAACGAACTAATAAAATAAATTGGATAGAATTAAGTGAAGCCAAAATCCCTAGTAGTTTTTAATCCTTGATTTTCGTGTGTAATCAAAAAATTGCGTACTTGATTTCTTTTTTTATCTTTTATTTGTTGAATTAGGTTCTTAAAATAACTTTCCCTTAAATTGTTGTTTTACCTAGTGAAGATTCTAATGCCCATATTTCATATAAATTTCCTAGGATTTGGCGATACTATTCAAACAAAATGGAAGTTTCTTAGAGAGATCTTCATAAATTAAAAACTCTTCCTTTCACTCTTAGGGACAAAGCACGATCTTTGTTATCTTAGGGACAAAGCACGATCTTGGTTACAATCGTGCCCTGCTGGAAGTTTTACAACATGGGAGGAATTAGCTTAGAAATTTTTGGCAAAATTCTTTCTATCTTCAAAAAACACAAAACTGCGCAATGAGATAATGACATTTGTCCATCATGATCAAGAAAGTTTGTATAAAGCTTGGGAGAGATTTAAGGACTTATTGAGAAAGTGCCCACGTCATAGCTTGCCTAAGTGGTTACAGGTGCAAACTTTTTATAATGCATTATCTCCTAACATTAAGAATACTCTAGATGCAGCTGCAGGTGGATCTTTTGAAAGAAAAGAAATTGATGAGGCATATGACTTGATAGAAGAGATGGCAAGCAATAGTCATTGTCAAAGTAACTCCGAAAGGAAGAAGACAGGAGTTTATGAGATTGATGCCATTACAGCACTTAATGCCAAGGTAAGGAAGTTGGACTTATTGACTACTAACTTGGTAAATTCTACTGTGCAAGCTTGTGACAGGTGTAATGGATAGCATGGGATTGGAGAATGCATGTTAGATTCTTTAAATCCACAAACTTTGGAACAGGTCAATTATGTGATGAACCAAGGAAGGAAAAATTACCCATACTCTAACTCTTATGATAACAGGTTGATGAATCACCCTAATCTTTCGTATGGGAATCCAAATAATGCTTTGAACGCACCACCAGGTTTTCTACCTCAAGAGAAAAAGTCTCATGATGATCTCCTCATCAAATGATGAATCTCCTCACGCCCTCTCTAATCGACTGGACTTCAATGAACATAAACGGCAAGAAAAACAACACAAAATCCAATAAGCTGCGATAAGGAACTTGGAGATTCAACTAAGACAGTTTGCAAACATGATGGGCTCTCGACCCCAAGGTACGTTACCTAGTAATATTAAAAAAAATCCTAAAGAATAGGTACAAGCCATCACCTTGAGGAGTGGCAAATAGTTGGAGGAACCAACCAGGGCAGAGAAGGAGAAGGAAGAGTAGAAAAAGATACCTATCATTGACTTATAAGAGAAAGAGGAAGTAAAACCTTATGTTCCACCTGTCCCTTGCCCACAAAGGTTAAAGAAAACATAAGATGACAATAGTTTCCTCAAGTTTCTTGATGTCTTCAAAAAGCTTCAAATCAACATACCTTTTGTTGAAGCCCTTGCTCAAATGACCAGCTATGCAAAATTCTTAAAAGAGATCCTGAGCAAGAAATACCCACTATTGGCAATAATCTTAAAGAGATCCCTGAGCAGAAAATGGAAGATTGATGATCAAAAAGGAAGGTAAATTGTTGATAGAGGAGTGAGCGGAGCAACTATATACAACGGAATAAATTACTCCAAAATTAAAGCATCCAGGAAGTTTTCTATCGTCTTGCATGTAGGAATGACGCTCGCGGAAATCTTGAGAGGTTTTGACAAAAGCATTAGCATATTAGGTGCTAGATTTAGGTGCTAGCATTAATCTAATGTCTTATGAAGTTTTTAAGATGCTAGGGATGGGAGAGCTAAAATCAACAAGGATGTCTCTACAGTTGGCAGATCGATCGATAAATCAAATATCCAAGAGGAATTGTAGAAGATGTGCTCATCAAGGTAGATAAATTCATCTTTCCTATTGATTTTGTTATTCTGGACATTGATGAAGATAGAGAAGGAACCTTAATCCTTGGAAGGCCCTTTCTTGCAATTGCAAAGCATTGATTGGTGTGTATGAAGGTAAGTTAACCTTGAGGGTACGTCAAGAGGAGGTTGTGTTTGATGTTCTTAAATCTTGTAAACTTCCCATGTGTAACACCCACCGGACAATCCCAGAGAACCAGACGGCGGATGCCACAATCAGTTCCGGAGCACCGTCTTATGTCACTTATTAAAGCTAAATCACAAATTAGAAGTGATTACATTTTCATAAGGAGGCAAGTGATTAAATTTTTTTTTTTTACAAAAATAATGTTTAAGGAAATTCCTACGAAAATTTCGCAAGAGTTTCCCCTAAAAATTAACTTGCCACACAAAATTCTCTAGTAAATTTTCGCTCAAGATGTTTCCTTTTCCTTTATATTAGATTATATCCTTTGCCACACGAAGAGAGAAATATACCAACACTGTGCCAATTTCAATCCAAAACCCCCAAAAACTACCAGGATTCAAAGTCAGCAACATAAGGCGCGGACAAAGCACTCAAAATACAGCGAGGTGGCCATCAACATATTGCGCATAATATTTAAACACACTCTATTTGCAAGAATCTATAAGTCATAACATAACAATCTCGCAAAAATATAGGATAAGAATGTATGTCCTTAAATAATCATATCTCTTCAATACATTATATAACTATCTATTCAACCTCACAACACAATATTTATATACCATGCCAAAAATCACCATTTACGAAAACATCCGACCGGCAAAAATGAAAATGATATCTACCTATGCTCACTTCCTATGTCCTTGAAGGAACATGGTTTTCCTCGCTGCCCTAACTCTCTCGTTGATTTATAAAATTTCAGAGCGCGCTATATCAGGGTGACTAGACTTCAGTGGGCAAATAACAACGGCAAGCGTATATATTGTGTTACCGATGCCGGACACTAACCAAGGAATAGTCCAAGCGAGAACCTTAAATGACTCAACCTATAATTAAGTATGCGGGAAATCGGCATTCATTATAAATTCAAATACTTTGAAGCAAATGAGAAGATATAAATACAAAATATGTTCTTCACTGTCTTATAGCACAATAGAAATCTATTTTTTTTTTTTTGGTTAAGCGCTCGTACATGCAGAGATGAACATAAGCAGATTGATCGCTGACTAGTATGCGCCACTGATGGCCCATCACATACCGGCCTAATGAAAGCACCGAACCCCCATCTACACCAATCGTCGGCCTATGAAAGCACCACCGTCGGCCTAATGAGAAGCACCACCCAGTCACCATAATAAGCGGTGTCCGCCTATTAAAGGGGGCTGATAACCCTAGCATATGATCATAGCTTCACAATAACAAAATCCATCTCATCATACCACGTCTCAATCATGCATAGTAGAGCCCAAATCAAAATCAATCTTTCACAAAAGCAATAATTCTTAATCAAAACCTCTTCATTTCTTAATACTCATCAGTTCAAAATTTTTTATAGATATATGTAGACTTAATATAGTATAAAAGTACATAAATCAAGAACTTTTCAGCATTTTCATAAACTTGACCCTTGCTGGATTTTTAACACATAATTTGAGTTATGGGGCTCCAAATTGAATGAAAAATTTGGAACTAAGATTAGATTAATTGGAAAGCTAAGAACAAAATGATACAACTGTTCCAGAAGGGACCACTAGCCCAGATAATATGTAAAATAGCAAACAAAAAAGCTAGGACAACAAACCAACAGATCATACCTGATTCAGCAGAACCAAGGTCCAATGTTCTTAAATCCTACTAACCAAAACACTCCAATGAAACCAACTAAGAATGAAAGAGAATCCAAGACACAAGGAAACAACTTTATGAAGAACCAGAACCTAATCTGCATTAGTCAGTGGCGCAAATGGCAAGCAATTTATGATGCCGCTAGCTCCACGCACACAAGAGTCGAGTTCGGCCTGTTTTTTCAGCGCATACACGATTGAGGTATGTTATTCTCCAAACTTGGATTACAAGAAGGATGGTTTGAAAATATAAGAAAGTAATGCTACAGACTTTTATGAAGATACATAAGACAAGTATAATTATTTACGAACATTTCAGTAAGATCGATACACAATGGACCAATCATTTCGATAATACAGTAAGACAGCCAAACACAACCAGCCCGGGTATTTTATGTAAATCATCAAGTCGCACTATAAAAAAGAGTTAACGTTTAGGAGCCTGAATTACTTGTAGACAAAAAAATATAAAGTTTTGGACAGCCTGAGAATATTAGAAAGCTACTAAAACTTTCATTGAAGAAGTCAGGCGAAATCTGATGGACCAAGTATGAAAATGGGTCGTAAAAGAGGTTCACCACACCGTGAGATACATATTCGCTACATTGAAAATAGTCATGCAATTAATGACCAAACGGACATCCCCATAACAATCTGAAAAATGCACATATTCAAAACGAGCTAATCATTAGTATAGACAACAAGCTTGAACATATGTAAAGTATATTGAAGTAAGATCTCTCTCATAAATCAAATATAATGAATAGATCAAGCTCGGTAATGGGCCTTACTCTCTTGGATCCTTCCTTATCCTCATTGATGGATAAGAGTTCTGGTCCACCTCTATTCTATAAGTTGAATGATGAAATTGGCGAACTATATAAGAAGGCAATACATGACCAAAAAGATAATAGTAGTCGTATCAGTGAGTTTATATCTGCATTCGAGAGAGACGAGGAACGAACCAGCCATGATAACATTCTACGTTCAACTGTCTAGCAAAGACTTCAACATAACCATTCTAACTGATCTTGCTTAATTGTTAACTTATCTCACTTTCTTTGAGCTCTTGTAGATGCAACAATTCGTCGACTCTACTTCACTAAATCTTAGAATTAAGATCCTATTCTTGTTTAATAGGTTAGTTGGGTGGCTATATATTGAACGTAACGCACAAATGAAGATTACAAATTGTCAATGAAGAAGGAGAGCGAGATGAAATGGCGTGGAGAATGACGAAGAGAATGATTAAGAAACAGTGTGTGGTACTTAAGTGCCTAAGTCAATTTGACTTCCATTTATCGATGCCAAATTTGGGCTACTGAGCGAACACGTACTAGAGTTTTATGTTGTCTATCCAATGGCTCTTAAATTATATTCACTCAAATAATTCCTCTTGTATTCTAATATTCTATACTCCATAACAATGAATAATATAAGCTCCGACTCATATAATTAGTTCCTTGACATATACTTCTTTAAGTCAGAGCGAACGATCTAGATTAATTATTAGGCAACATTAATAAGGAGTACATATAGATAGACTTCCTTCCAAAGACCATATAGTTAGCATGTAGAATATTTTGAATAGCCCTGCAGTAGAAATACATGCAGAAGCAGTCTCCACAACACATTACAGTATAAAGATAAAGATGAAAAGATAGTATCTATAAGTATTAGAAGTAGTTGTGTATGGACTAAGCAATTAGACGTATACTCAATGGTGCCGAGCATACACCCAAAGAGATGGTACTACTTCAATGGGTTATAAGGA